GCCATTGCATTTCCAGCAGCCCTGAACTTGACTGTCTGCACAGACCCTGCAGCACCCTGCAGCAGTCTGGCTTTCCCTGCAGAAGTGACGGAGCCTGGAACAACTTCAGAAATTTTGATAAAAGTTGCAGATATAAAACATCCACTGGAAACAAGGATAAGAGGATCAGGGATAAAATTTGCCATATGGCTGGCTTGGCTAAGTAAAGCAGTGGGCAGCCTGAAGAGATTTTTTAATACCTGTGTTCTGGCTCTGTTCTCCAAAGTGCTGGCAAACAACAAGAGATGTCCAGAAACTTTGCCTGTCTCCCAGTCAAAGAGCTTACCTAGGTAATGTCATCTGTTGTTCAAAGTCTCAGCTCACTCTCTGGTTGCAGTCTGCTGTGTCAAATACTTTATACATTTGGAGACTTTAGCTTGCTTTGTGTCCCTTTTCCTGGAATCTCATACTTGAATCACTACTATATTACATTTTTAACTGCTTTTAGTAGTCTTTCAAAAAAAAATCATGTGCCTCACCAGATAGACAGCTATGTATTTAGCCATGCAACAAGTCAGGGTGTCCCACAGCTAGGCTGTATTTTGCTTTGATGTCTTTACTGCTTCTTCCATGTCTCCCCAAATTACCTTTTTGTAGGCGAGTTCTGTGTTCTCTATACTGGAACACGTGACCCATCCTTTGAATTTCTCTTTTGCTTCTTTCTGGAGATTCTGCATGAGACTTTCCAGGTACATCTGATAGTTCCCTCCTTCCTCATCCACTTGTTTCCCAAGCTCGTCCAGGGTGGGAGAATGCACTTCTGCATCAACATAGGAGTTTCGGGACTGGGTGACCATCTCGTGTGGGACCTGTGCCACAGAAGGGAGGGAAAACACACCGTGAAAACCTCCTGCTGAGAACTTTTCCTTAAGGCAATGTGTTCCTAGGCTGATGGACTATTCAGCGTCCAATTGCAATGAGCCTATGATCTGCAATGAAACAGTCCATGGCTCGGAATAGCGTGACTCATGCAGAACCATATTAGACTGATCGACTGTATGTCAGTACACGTGTTACTCCTCTAGCCCCAGAAACGTTGCTTTGTGCTTCTGGAGCAAGGAGATAGGAGAATTATCTCTCCTCCAGCTGCAGTGAAAGCAGCTGCAGGAATGACTCCATCTCCCTACGTGATTTTAACTTTATTGCATGACACACAGAAATAAAGTGTATGAGCTCTTTTTTTTGAGATGAATAAGTTTTAATTGAGGTGTTAAAAGCATTATAATGAACCAAAATGTTAAACCAGCAGATTTTGATTTTAATTAGACTGAAATTTCCTAATCCAGTGATTTGGGTTGAAAACTGCCACAGAATAATTACCTAGCATTTTTAATAGATGTATCTTTGAATGCTAGAAGGGAACAGCCATAAAGAAATGAGATAAATTTTAGATGGAGCAAGTTTACAAATAAGTGATGCACCATCAATCTCTGAGCTAACACAAGACAGAAAATGTAAGCATAAACATAAATACTTCAAAGGATGCTGCCTTATGTGGCCATGAATAATGCCGTTTGAGTCTCTCACTCACCTCAAAAAGTTTGTTGCATTCCATAATCATGTGAGCAAGTCCCTGAGTAGCTGCCAGGTTTTCACTGAGGTCCTTCTGATCTGGCTTCCCTGTTGCATATTTTTTCTGTATTACTCTGTAATTGAATTCAATGTCTCAGGTAAAAAACGCTGAATCTTTTTAATATGAAAGCAAACAGCTGCAGGATGTTCAAAACACCAGAGAGAAAAGCCTATCTTTAGTTTTTATTTATCGCAAAGATTGCTCAGACTGTTGGGCCTTTTTTAAAGGAAAAAAATGTTTACTTAAAATACTGTTGAGCCAAAGGTAAAAGCAGGAAAGGTTATGCATGTCCTGCATTAGGTGTTGTACGTTTTGAAATGGATTTCTAACATGATGTACAGTGGTTTACACTGTTACTGCTTAAAGCTCTTGCTCAGACACTGGTTATATATGTACATGACCAAGAATCTCAGTGTATTCTGAACCGGATAGGGGAAAAAAAAGTCAGAAGGGATATCAAGTTGGAACCACTAATGTTTAGCAGGGTCTATGCCCTGTTTATTCCACACTCACCATGTTACATGCCATCTTAACGTGCCCTGAAAAGTGGCCTCTGTTTCCCAAGTGGCAGAATGTAGCCAGAAAATGCAGACTGAAAAACCACTCACTGAAAATCTATGTATTAAAATCCTTTAAAACATGGTCAATCTTTGACTTCAACCAGAGCAAAATCAGGCTCT